TTTAAATTCTTTTTCTTAAAGCCTCTGGGTTTTGCAACTCCTGAAGACCAGGTGGGACTCTGAAAACCATAATTTCTTATATTTAGCTTATACTTGTGTTTTTAGATCATTATGGTTTGACAAAGTATCAGTCTCTACCTGTTTGTTAACAGAATTATTTGTGCAAAGACAACTGTTCTCTCCCTACAGCTTACATCTACTTAAATGCGGGGGGGAAAGGAGAGGAAACCCATTTTATGTAATATGGTGAAATTCACCTAATAAAATCTTGTAGTATTTCTGGGACTTCAACAACTCTGTAATTGCTCATCAAACAGCATTTACTGTTCCTACTAAATCCTCTTTTTTTTTGTACTTCAAGCCAGTAACAAGGCAGATTTTTTTTTAAAAGCCAAAGAAACAAAAACACTTTATACAGAGAAAACAGCATATCCTGACCAGAAGAGTAAAACCTGAACACACAGACACAGACACACAGAGCCTCATTAGATCAACATTTATAGTTGGGCATTGTAAACCAGGAAAATTTGTTTTGCTATACCAGTGGCATTCTTCAGCCAAATTCGCAAGACTCTCATAAGCTACTCAAGACTTTTTAAACATAAATATTTCAGCGTTACTAAAAGAACTAAATTATTCATGATTAATAACTATTATTGAGCAATGTCCTTCTCTTCCTTATTTACAAACCTGGCTTCTACAAATATATTAGTTTATTGTATTTAATGAAGTCTGTCAAGCAAAACTATGCCTTATGTGTAAACAGTTGCCTTGCAACTCATTGCACGTGAACTGTCCTTTAACCCTCATGAACGTTGCTCCATTTAGACAGGGTTTAATCAGGAATCGATCCACACAGACAGCAAAGACTAATTATTACCATGTGTATTCACACAATCATTTGCTACTTAGAGTATAAAGATAAGGAAGATGGCTCCACAGACTCAAAATATTTCACCTGATTAGCAGAGAACTCAAAAGATCCCCTTTAAGAGGAAAAAAGAAAAAGAAACAAAAACCCACACCAAAACTCACAACAGGACCAGCACACAGATCTATTCTCAAAGATATTCTCAGATTATTTTGAAGTAATCAGTCACACTAAATCATACCAGACCCCCAAAAAGAAGAGTTTAAGTACAAAATTAAAATCTCTAACTTAAAACTTCAATTCACATCTTTAACAAAGTAGGATTAGAATGTAAGTGTCCCTTCCACCCCACACCCCCCTAATTCAGAGTATTCATGACAGGAATTACAGTGCTGGAAATTACTAAGCATGAAATAAATAGTAATTCCTTTTAAATCAGCACCATAACATTTCATGCTTTCACTGAAGAACGCAAGACCACATGGAGAACCGTCAAGTAAAGCTGTACGATTTAGTTGAATTCACATCAAACTTCATTAATGTATATGAATTTATATACTAGTGAATATAATTATGTATGGAGAACTTGAAGTGCTCCATATATATTACATTATTGATGTTGATGTCAAAGAAGTTTTCAGCCAGATAAAGTATGTGTTGACACATGTCAGACTGTTCTCAACAAGTCTCACTACTCCATTGCGATGAAGACACCCAACAGAAGGGCTCTGCTACATCTAAGTAAGGATATATCATCCTGTCTTTATATGCTTCATGCACAGCGCCAAACCAAGAAACTTGTCTGTTCTCTCAGTCTGCTAATGTCTCTGAAAAGCCATCAGAGAGAACCACCATGTAGCTAGCAGCTGTTTTCTAGACATCTCTAAATGAAAGATTTTCTCTTTTTTAAGGTATAGGGATGATGAACGTGATGAGAAACAATCTGAAGAGTCTAAGCACAGTGGGAGGGAGCAGAAGACACGGCTGTGCTGAGAGGCACATCCAGCTGCTGAGCCTGCAGGTGCCTCTGAAGTAGATGGACAGGATGAAAGATTAGGGAAGGTGTTGCTGGACTGGATAAATTTGAGTGATGAAGGAAGTTTCCAAAAGTAAAACAGAAAAAAACCAGCATGCTTTGGTAAGATCAGGTCTAGAGGAAAATAAGACAAACTGGGAAATCAAATCACAGTTGAGAACTCAGAGATGTGAAAAGCAAGTAGAAACAAGAGTCAAAAAGAGAGAAAGAAACCAAATTATGAAAGAAAAGTGGCATTAGGTCTAGTGTGAAAAATGAACAGCTAGAAAGAGAAAAGATGGCAGTGAGAATAGCAAGAGTGAAACAAAACAGTCTGACTTTAATGTAGTAGGACAAACACTAATAAGGGAATTGCATATTACCATAAAAGTTTCCCATTCCCCACAGAATCTACACCTCATTGGGAATCATTCACACCACAGCCAGGAGAGCCAGAGAAAGAAGTATGAACATTACAAACAACAATCAAGTAAAAACATAGTATCTTTTTCAGTGACTGTGATTTATAAAGGTTCCAACTGGGATACTCATAGAAACAGGGTGGTGAGCAGCAGCACCTCACTGGTGCAAAACAGATACTTCCCTAAATTCAAACACAGCCAACTTTCCATCCTTCAGCAACCAAATGCAAACACAAACATTGTAGGTCTTGAGCAGGGCACCGTGGAAGATAAAAATAGTCCTGCCTAGAACAAACACTTGTCTCTACAGGCTCATAGCACAGCAGTTGAGAAGCATGAGACGCACTTTCCACTACTGAACAGAACATCAAATCACACACTCAGCTACTTGCAGATGAAAACTTGCTGTCTTACAGCTGTGCTACTAGTGATACGATTAAAGGAGCACATAAAATCCTTGTAAAGATACTTGTCAATTTGGGATTCTCCAAGCACAGCTCATCCCCAGAAAAGTCACAGTGCGCAACACACGGCAATATGAAGAACACAGCAGAAGAGGGGGGAAAAAACGTGCACAATGCCCATAACTAAACTAACGTATATTGTAAATAAGCAAATATGTTTTATTTCGTATTGATTCTTAAGCAGCATACAGGGAGGGAACATTAGAGAACTGAGCTGCAGAAGATTTAGAGTAGATACAGGTGTTTGAAATAAAAAGAATGGCTCTCTGCGTGTTAAATTGGAAGAAGAGGAGGCAAGAGAAGACACCAAAGTATGACTTTTCGCCATGCTCTTTCCAACGTGCGTGACCTTGCAACTGTAGAGAGTGCCAAATTTTATTGTTTTTATCTTGCTGAAGTGCTGTCATAACAGCAGTACAGCAAGATAAAAGGGCACTCAAAACTGCAGTCACACTTCAAGCTCTCTAACCATTCTGTCATTCTCTGATAGTTTCAACTTTATTATGGAAATGTTTTCATATGGAAATGGCTTATGTGTACAAGAAGCAGCCTCTCTCCTGAAGATTATGGCAATACATCAAAGAAAACCCCAAAGAAAGCATGTAGTTGTCTAAAATAACACATTATGTTCTAATTCCCCCTTTATTTTTCCTGTTTCTTTTTAACAGTAGATAGATCCAGACAGAAGAAAGGAGTGGGAAAAACACAGCAGGAAACAGTAAAAAGGAGCACTGCAAGGAAAGAAAGTTTAATTACAGCACAAGAAAAGATGCAAGGAATGTGAAGAATGTCAGCAAGTAAATAAATCAATAATCTACAGTCATCATCTACATTCCTGAACTATCTTGAGAGCAAGGATATCTGCCCTTAACATTCCTGACAACAGTAGAGATTTTCAAGGAAGAGGCCCTGTCAGGCTCTGTTTCTGCCAGTACCCTTGTGTCAACAGCTGATTACAAGGGAACCTTTCTGAAGGGAGTCCGTACTACCTCTTTTAACAGTTTTGTAAATACCTTGGACCAGCCCAGAAACATTAAAAAGCTGAAATTAATGTTGTGATCATTGCCCTTACTTGGAAAAAAAAGTCAAGGTCATTGTCAAAGAATAATGCACTAGGTCCCACCTCACCACTGCTCTCTAAAATATACCAGAGCCTAGCAGCTCATACAGAATCAAAGCACAGATCAATAAAGCCAGAAGACTAATGTGGTTTTACAGATGTATTTCTTCAGAATGGTATCAGCATAATACAAAGTAAAAGTCTTACACAGGAAATGGAAGCTGAGCAATAGAGACAAGAGGACCTAAAAAGTCAGGACTTCTTAACAAGTTGGGAACACTCTATATTGTTAATGGGGAAAAAACACTTCAACAACTAAACAAACAAACAAAAAACAAACCTCCAAACCTAAAACAAGTATACAACTAAAATCAAGAATATGCCATCAGATAACCTGGCACAACAGAAATGAATGTTTAGAGCAAAATAATGGGTGTTTGGAACCTTACTGACATCCACCCGATACCCATTTCAGGGTGTTTTATTTCAGACCAATTCTAGACTGGTCTGGTGAACCAAGCATCCATTGGATGCTGAGGTGAAGAGTCTGGTTTAGTTTCATCCACAAGGAATCTAGATCAACTCGTGTTCCAAATCAAAATACGGTAAATGAGGAACAACAGAAATTCAACTCGGAAGTGTAACCCTGAGCCAACGCTAACACAGATTAACTCGACGTCGCAATGTGACTCTGATGCTATATAAAAAAGTCTTGTAAGTCCAGTATCTGTACCTCAAACAAAGTACAACAAAAATAATGGGATGGGATGATTCCACATGAGCATTGTTGCTTAGAAGACTACTTTTATCTATAAGACAAAGCAGTAATTCTCCAAAAATTGTTTTGCCACACAAAATAAAATGTACAAAACCCACAGAAATTCAGCATACAGAATTATTTCTAAACTGGACTTGCTTGGCTTCTTCTATGCAGAATAAGTTTTTGCAACACTTGCTTTTGCAAATGAAGCTGATACAATATTTTCAGGGCATATTTTCATGTGACGCAATAAATTTCTTAATGGTTATATGAAGTGTAGTAATTAAAACAAGTCTGTTTTCAATGACATTCTACTGCCAAATGGTGGGTCACGGATTCAACAGACTTCACAATCATCTTTGAAGTAATGACGCACTTAGGTTAAAAAAGAAAGAAAACCTACTGTACCTGTATGTTGTTCTTCAATCCAAGCTTGCAGATACATGAAGAGGAGTAGACCAGCTACACCAAACATCAGTACAGACACAAAGACTTGTCTTAGGTTCATGACCCTATCAGAGGGCTACTTTTCAGCTTTCAGAAGGACACATGGCTCAATTTTCTGAAGCTTTCAGCATGCCTGCATCTTCTTCAGTATTTTCCCAAGACACTGACCTGGAAAAACAAGAGATGGAGCTAGTTCCAGCGTTATGTTTTTATTCTTCACCAGAGACTGTGTAAAGAGCATACCACATACAAGCTGTAGCTCTTACAAGCTCTTAGATCCAATGCTTATATTTGTGTTCATGATCTCAACAATCTTCCTACCCCTGGACAAATTTCAAACTGAAATGTTTCTCGAAGTGGCTGCAGAGAACATTCCACCTCCACAATGCCAGACATCACCTGCTGCCTTAACGGAGGGAAGTGATGCCCCAGATGAGACACCTGGGTGTCACACCAGTATACCACTGCCCACCAGCCACCACAGCTGAGAAACTACAGCAGCAGCTAGAGACCCTCTCAGATGGCCAGGTTGTGACTCAGTACTACCATCCCTCTGTGATGGGCAACCCAGCACCTCTGCTTCTGAACCATGCAACCCTGTGCACACAAAGAAGAATGCCTTCAGTCACCCCCTACAACACAACTCTGCTCGCAATGCCTCAGCAATAGTTAAGCTTATGCTTTGGGGAGTTATACTCTGATGTTTACCTTCAAACATGAAGTCAAGTGGAGTTTTGCAGAGCTAGGGAATTAAACAAGATGATATACATAACACAGCAGAAAGGCAATTAATCATAGAATCATTTAGGTTAGGAAAAGACCTTTAAGATCATGAAGTCCAACCATTAACCTAACACTGCCAAGTTCACCACTAAACCACCACTTAGGTGTCCCTAAGCACCACATCTACTTGTCTTTTAAATACCTCCAGGGATGATGACTCATCCACTTCTATGGGCAGCCTGTTCCAGTGCTTAATAACCCTTTCAGTGAAGATTTTTTCCCTAATATCCAATCTAAATTTCCCCTGGCGCAACTTAAGGCCATTTCCACTTGTCCTATCACTTGTTACTTTGGAAAATAGACTGACGCCCACCTCATTACAGCCTCCTTCCAGGTAATTGTAGAGAACAATAAGGTCTTCTTTCAGCCTCCATCTCTCCAGGTTAAACCACCACAGTTCTCTTAATGGATCATCTTTTTACCCAGCTATTTTGCAACATGGGAAAGACTTGTCAAGAATCCAGTTCTTGCCTGTAACTTCAATGGAAATATTGATCAAATGTAAAACCTTACCAAAAAGATTACTTGCTTGCACAGCAGAGGGCCTAGAAAAAGGAAGTAATTTACCTGATACTCTGCATCTGCCACAAAGTGGCCATAAAATTCAGTTTATGATAAGAGAACACAGAAGACATTGTGGAACATTAAAAAAGCCACCTCCTTAGCCTGAAAGAGAACGCTTTCACTTTGAAAGGACGTTGCTAGAAGCTGAAGAGCAGCTGTTGAAACTGGCCTGCACAGCAAAAGAAAGTGTGTTGAAATTCAACACAATGGACACCCTTATAAGTGAGTATCTGATAGAAGTGTCTGGTAAACTACCACAAAGAATGGAAAGAAAATTCAAGCTTTTAAAGCAAGACAGCCTACTGAAAAATACTGAACAAAGCTAAAGTATATGTGCATCCAAATAAACAGAAAAAGAAAATGCAGGCATTTAACAGTTATTCTGAAACATACAAGTGCTGTGAATTCCACAAGTTTGTATTTTTAAATAACTCAGCACTGTTACATCTATAATTGCTGAGTTTCTAAAAATATCCAGACACTTAAGGCTTAGCAGGAACTCCCATTAAAAATAGCTGTTGGATGAACAAAGTAACTACATTTTCTAAGAGACTAAAATTTCAAGGACAACATAACTGTGTTCAGAACTTTACAGATTTTTTTTTCCAAATCTGTGGCACTAAAATTATAAAGTTCTCTGTGAAACACAAACTTGCCTGCAGAAAACGTAAACCAGAGTTTAAAAATTACTCATTTGATATGTAATTGTCCTGTAGAAGACAGATAGCTAGACATTAACAGAATGTAAATGTTCTGTCTGAAGGTTTGGTTTTTTTTTTCTGTATGGGTGACGAAGTGTCTGGTTTGAATCTGGAACACAGAAGGAAGGCGAGTAAGTGCTTTAATCCATCCAGTTCTTTCTGCCTTGATTCTACAGAGATGAAATTTCCTTCATATTATATACATGCACCTGTTTGCAGCTTCTGTGATGATGCACAAGATTGGAAGGAAGCAGCAAAGATTGGGCAAAAGCAAGGAAAAAGCTTGGGGAATATTTAGTACAATGCCTTTTGCCAGGATGTGGGTAGGGGAGCCTCCTTTCAGCCAGCTCTTCATTAGTTGTTATCGCTTGCATCTTTTCCTCCAGTTTTCCTCAGCATTCTCGGACCTGCAGTCTTCCTTATCTACCCTAAAAGGTTTACTTAGGTCTTTGCTCCTAGCCTTTGCCCCCAGCTTCAATCCTGCAGTAAATGCAGTCTGCATGCCTTCAGAAATCACTCTGTTGAGGAGACAGAAGCTTCCCAGCATAAGCAGTGCTTCAAGAACCATCAAAGGACCAAGAATACAAACCTCTTCTGTTTTCCCCCAGACAAGAGCTGTGTTGTTCATATAACAAGACAACGACAGCATCTGGACCGGGGGGGGGGGGAAGCCAAATAAATAAGATATGCATGTCTGAATGAGTATCTTTGAAAGAAACTAATTACATTGTGGGTACCAGAAAGCAGCAATCAGTTTCTTTCGGAAGACCTGTTAATGATTCATAACTTTCTATCTTATAATAAAAAGCAAGCAATCCAGACACACACTGTGAATACTTGCATGTTTCCACATAAGCCTACTTTTGTGGCTTTGTCACTTGTTTCCATTTCTGACTACAAGCAACCCTTGCATTTTCAGCCCTTCTTTCTCAAAAGAAGCATCACTGGGTGGGCAAGAAATGCTTTCTTGGGCCACATGGATAATATTTAGCTTTCACCATCTCACACCACATCTCCATGAACATTTTGGGCATGTGTAGGCAGGCACTGCTGCTCTCTCCAGTCACTTGCTCTCATCATCCCTGACTGTCCTGCCCCTGCCACCATAATGAGTGCTTACACACCTGTGCGGCAACATTCAGAGAATCTTACTGCCAAATAAGGACCTTACTGCCACACAAAGTCAGGAAACACTGGTTTAATCAAAGTCCACAAAGGATTTACCCAAGGAATAGTGCCAATGGCTTTTCCTTTAGCAATACCAGTCACCATATGCATCCATAACACATGATGACATAGGCTATGATAGAATCATTTGATTAGAAAAGACCTTGAAGATCATCAAGTCCAACCATAACCTAAACTCTACCAAATCTTCAGCTAAATCATATTCCTTAGTACCACATCAATGCATCTTTTGAACACCTCCAGGGATGGTGATTCAACCACTTCCCTGGGAAAGCCCAGATATACAGCCGGCCTTGCCCAAACACCATCACAGTTGCATGCAGCACCACCTACAAGCTCTTCAGGAGGCAAAGTCAAATCAGAAGCACTTCCAAGCAATTTAACTTGTGAATAAGAAAAAAGAGTTTTTTACACTTAGGGTAGTTACAGTTTTGAGTGGATAGAAGTTCCTAAAAGGAAACAGCAGTTCAAGGTGCATTTTTTAAGCTACCAAACACAGCCTAAAGCAAATTTACTCCACCCATCAGTGTCGCTACAATTATCTTTGTATCAAGAGCTTTCATGCTGCTTGCAATTAGTTTAATTTATTTAAATTTAATTTATATAAAACTGTAGTCTTTGTTTATGTCTTTGCTAAGTTTTAAGATTAGTTTTAAACAAGAATAACATTAGTTTTAATTAAAAGTACCTATTTTAGCACAGGTTAGACTCTAAATACATTAAACTCATCCAAAACCTGAAGCTATTCTGCTACCTTATAGGATTTTAAAGGCTTTTCAGCTTGAATAAGTAGTTTAATTTATTTAACATAGTGATTTGTAACCCACATATGAAAAAATGATAGGAACATTAAAAAAAGTCTGTGTCTATGAGTCTTCCAGGAGAACTTGAAAAATGGCTGCACAACACTGACAAATTTGCTCCTTTAATATTGAAAAGCAACGGTTGTGGATAACACTTTAGCATCCCGGCAAAGAGGAAATACCTGCAAATATTCTTTAAACAAGATGAATGCTCTCTTGTGGCTGTGAAGAAAGAGCCAACAAGAAATTACTTTCAACTTAAGTATTTTCAAAAAGAGATCAGCTGTATCGAGACAGAGGTTCAGCATCCTCAGATAAGCTATGAATCTTTCTTTGCTCCCAGTCCTGGGCAACATAGCTCCACTGGGTGATAGTCCATCCTGCTGGATAGGATGCTTGCTGTGGGGAATCTAATGTGGTCTAAGAAACTGCTGTGTCCCTCTCACCTATGCTAAACTTGATTCTTTCTTTAGCCCAACCTTCCCCCTAATCTCTTTTGGAAGTATGGACTCCAGTGTCCCATCTGTTTCAGCTCAAGCCTCCACAGAAAATGTCCCAGTGACCCATGCGCCCCAAGATTTCAAGTCCATTTGAGTACTGGAGAGAGATTACTACACAATGTTCTTATACATCATGGAGAAACAGTTAATCTGGCAGACAAAAAAGCTACGTGCCTTAGATGACAACACAGATCTCTTCGCAGCAGAATTTAGAAACTTGACAAGTTTATAATCACTCACTTCTGAGGCCAAATTGTTTAATTCCATTGTCAAATTTAAGAGTTTCAGGAATCCACATTCCACTCATGTAAAATCCTTGCATTTTTCCTGTTGTGTTTTGGGTCCAGTTCAAAAAGTCACATTCCTGCACAAGGCCAATACAAGCAATTGAAACAGCACAGCCACCCAAAATGGAGAAGAGTGCATCTCCTGCTTTTGGCACAATTCCTCATTTCAGTACATCGTCCACTCTTCTCTTCCCGGAAAGCAAACACACCTGCAGCTGAAGAGAGGCACCTCCAG